ATTTACTCATGTGTGGTGTACCCTACCTTGTAAACTCAATATGCTTCATGTGAGGTGTACCCTAGCTTGTAAACTCCATATGCTTCATGTGAGGTGTATTCCAGCTTGTTAACTCCATATGCTTCATGTGAGGTGTACCCCAACTTGTAAACTCCATATACTTCATGTGTGGTGTACCCTAGCTTGTAAACTCCATATACTTCATGTGAGTTGTATTCCAGCTTGTTAACTCCATATGCTTTCATGTGAGGTGTACCCCAACTTGTAAACTCCATATACACACGTGTGGTGTACCCTTGCTTATAAACTCCATATACATCGTGTGTGATGTACCCTAGCTTGTAAATTCTATATACTTTATGTGTGGAAGTTTTACATACAAATGTGGAGTGAAAACCGAATCCCTCAAACTACACCATTTAAAAATAAGCCTTAAGCTAGCTAGCTCCTCAGCCAAGTTTGATAGATGCCTAAATCACAAGATTATTTTCTGCAGAAACCTTGTATATGTCCAAAGAAATTTGAAATGTAAGATACACATTCAGAGTTAAGGATAACCAGACAATGTCTGTCATGTTTTCTGATCAGCATTACTAAATATAGGATAAGCCTGCATTATCATGTGCCATTTATAGATTTTTCAAGCATACCAGGTCAGGCAAAAAGCTCCAATCCAGACGAAATCTTTTGTGATGTAATCAATGTCAAGGTACGGTTTCCATTTATGGCATATGTGGTTTTGTGATGTATATCTGTGATACAGTTACCAAACACGTATGACATAGGTGGTTTTGTGGTGTATATCTGTGGTACAGTTACCAAACACGTCTGACATAGGTGGTTTTGTGGTGTATATCTGTTGTACAGTTACCAAACACGTCTGACATAGCTGGTTTTGTGGTGTATATCTGTGGTACAGTTTGACATAGGTGGTTTTGTGGTGTATATCTGTGGTACAGTTATCAAACATGTCTGACATAGGTGGTTTTGTGGTGTATATCTGTGGTACAGTTACCAAACATGTCTGACATAGGTGGGAATTGTTGTTTTCTACTGGAATCTGATGTATTTATGTATAGAAGACCTATTCTGGGATTTATACCCCCCATTAGTTAGAATACTAGACAGATTGAGAATTCCATTTCGGTCATCAGGATAATCCAGTCTACAAAGCTATACAAATGGATTCCAGTATTGTGGGAAGTCACCCTGCTAAACACTTGTGTCAGAGTCATATGTACTCTCAAAATTAGCTCCAGCTTAAGTAGCCATCAGAGCTCAAAAGTATAAATGTTTCATTCTTTTCTTATGATATGGACAGTCAAATAAAAAAATTGGAAAAGTCCAAAGCGGCAATGCGGAAAAGGTGACGTAATGAAAAAACTGTTTACAATACATTGACCCTATCCTACACTCCTGGGCATGACTTATATTCTTATTACAGTTGTTTATAACTGTTTGCCCATCATCAGAAAAATGTATTCAGGACTAAGTGTCATGCTGCCATGTCCATGTTTTGTTATTGTGCTGTAAAGCGACCCATTAGTGGTCAGCTGTGGCCACCATGACCTTCATACAACTCTAGTTTCTGTCATAGAACTGATTTATCAAAGACAGTTCAAAAGGTAAACTCTTCAAGGAAGCACATGTGGATCTGTTAAACGTACCAGACTCAGAGGTCCTAATTCTGACGTCCTCCATAGAGTATGTTTCAGACTCCAATGCATGTCTTTAGTAGAATTGTCTACTACTATTGTAATAGTGTTTATCAGCAGTTTGTGCTCTGTGAAATTAATCTGGAACTGAAAAACAGATTTTGATATTATTTTCGGCTCTTCTGTCGGTAATCTTTGTCAGTCATGATGATGGGTTTTCTATCCCAGACACCTCTGGGAGTTTTAGCTCACCTGCCCGAAGTGCAAATGAGCTTATGCAATGGCGCGGCGTGTGGCGTCCGTCGTCCGTCGTTTCAACTTTTACTAAAAGTCGCTACTAGTCATAAACGACTGAGCAGATTTTGACCAAATTTGGTCAGAATCATCCTTAGGGGAAGGGGAACAAATTTTGTATAAATGGTGGGTCTTGCCACCCTGGGGGCTAAGGGGTGAATAGGGGAAATATAGTAAATTCTTTAAAATCCTTCTTCTTCTGTAGGAATGAAAGGATTTTTTCTAAATATATTTAGTCTGAAGTATCCTTTGGTTAAGGGGAACCAATTTTGTATAAACGGTGGGTCTGGCCTGTAGGGGCCTGAGCGGCGGGGCCCAATATGGGAAATATAGCAAATTCTTAAAAATCCTTCTCCTTCTGTAGGAATGAAAGGATTTGTTCCATATTTGGTCTGAAGCATCCTTGGGTAAAGGGGAACAATTTTTTGATAAACGGTGGGTCTGGCTCCAAAGGGGCCTGACGGCCGGGGCCCAATAGGGGAAACATAGCAAATTCTTTAAAATCCTTAATCTTCTGTTGAATGAAAGGATTTTTTCCATATTTGGTCTGAAGTATCCTTGGGTAAATGGGAACACATTTTGTATAAACTGTGGATCACACCCCCATGGGGCCTGAGGGTAGGGGCCAAATATGGGGAACATAGCAAATTCTTTAAAATCCTTCTTATTCTGTAGGAATGAAAGGATTTGTTCCATATTTGGTCTGAAGCATCCTTGGGTGAAGGGGAACCAATTTTGTATAAATGATGGATCTGGCCCCCAGGGGCCTAAGGGGCGGGGCCAAAAGGGGGCAATTAGGCTATATTGATTTGTGCTAAGGGGTGGGGCCAAAAAAAGTTTTTTACATGGAAATGGTTGAGATTCCCTCCATATAACCATACATGTATATACAGTTGTGGATTATAAAGAGAAGCATGCACATTTGCTTCCAGAATGGCCTAGGGTCTGGCCCCACCCTTTGAGACATAGTCACTGGGTCATAACTCTGAAATGGTTGAGATCCCCACCCCAGAACTATATATACAAATGCTTGGCAAAAAGAGACAAAAGTAGTCATGGTATTAGAATAGACCCTGGGGTCTGACCAAACCTCTAGGGACCTAGTGTCTTAGTCACAGCTTGGAAACAGTTGAGATCCCCACTCTATAACCATGCATATATACAATTGCTGAGTATAAAGAGATGAATGCACATATGCTTCCAGGATGTCTTTGAGGTCTGCCCCACCCTTGGAGACTTGACCCCTGGGTCATAACTTTGAAATGGTAAAGATCCCCACCCCAAAACTATATATACAATTGTTGGGCATAAAGAGACGAATGTAGTCATGATATTAGAATTGACCCCAGGGACTGCCCCACCCTTGCAGACTTAACCCCTGGCTCATAACTTTGAAATGGTTGAGATCCACACCCCAAGACTATAAATACAAATGCTGGACATAAAGAGACGAATGCAGTGATGATATTATAATTGATCCTGGGGTCTGGCCACAACCCTAGGGATCTAGTTTCTGAGTCACAGCTTGGAAACAGTTGAGATCCCAACTCCATAACCATTAAATTGCTGGGCATGAAAAATCTAATACAGACATACTACAAGAATTGGCATTGGGGTCTGGCATATTCCCTTGGATCTCATTTGGAGAATATTTTGCCATGATTGCTTAGATATCCAGGTGAGCAATACAGGCCCTCTGGGCCTCTTGTTTATACTTAACTTATCTGTTAAATGTATTTCAACTTGTTTAATAAAATCATTGCTTAACTAAATTCAAATCATCAGATAAATGGATGTCATAATCGATGAAATGATGACATTGATATCATGTATAATAATAGTGATTGTGAATTGTTCCAATTCTTGTACTGGAAACTAGTTTTGGTGCTATCGTTCATGTGAATGAAAATGGTAACATTTGGTTAAAAACCTTAAATTATCTTAGGATTATTCAAGCTTTATAACTGTATATTGTATCAATTATTGTTTTTACTGCAATTAAGTTTCCATTTGATGCACTCAGTAAAATAAAGAATAAATTGTTTTACTTAACCTTATTTCATCCTTTGATGTATAGGTATACACTGTAAAACCACTAGTTGTCACAGTGAGTGGTGTGATGTAAGTATACACTGTAAAACCACTATTTGTAACAGTGAGTGGTGTGATGTAGTTATACACTGTAAAACCACTAGTTGTCACAGTGAGTGGTGTGATATAGGTATAAACTGTAAAACCACTAGTTGTCACAGTGAGTGGTGTAATGTAGGTATACACTGTAAAACCAGTAGTTGTCACAGTGAGTGGTGTGATATAGGTATACGCTGTAAAACCACTAGTTGTCACAGTGAGTGGTGTAATGTAGGTATACACTGTAAAACCAGTAGTTGTCACAGTGAGTGGTGTGATATAGGTATACGCTGTAAAACCACTAGTTGTCACAGTGAGTGGTGCGATGTAAGTATACACTGTAAAACCACTATTTGTAACAGTGAGGGGTGTGATGTAGTTATACACTGTAAAACCACTAGTTGTCACAGTGAGTCGTGTGATGTAGTTATACACTGTAAAACCACTAGTTGTCACGTCACAGTGAGTGGTGTGATGTAGGTATACACTGAAAAACCACTAGTTGTCACAGTGAGTGGTGTGATATAGGTACACTGTAAAACCACTAGTTGTCACAATGAGTGGTGTGATGTAGTTATACACTGTAAAACCTCTAGTTGTCACAGTGAGTGGTGTGATATAGGTATACACTGTACAACCACTAGTTGTCACAGTGAGTGGTGTGATGTAAGTATACACTGTAAACCACTATTTGTAACAGTGAGTGGTGTGATGTAGGTATACACTGTAAACCCACTAGTTGTCACAGTGAGTGGTGTGATATAGGTACACTGTAAAACCACTAGTTCTCACAGTGAGTGGTGTGATGTAGGTATGCACTGTAAAACCACTAGTTGTCACAGTGAGTGGTGTGATGTAGTTTTATATTTTTCTGATTATTAATGTGTAATCAATAGCTTTCATGTATTTCTGTTGTTGTAGGAGAACGGAGCCTACCCATTCTTATCAATCTACAGATCCATGGGCTACCATGGTACCAATGATCTCTACCCATCCCCTTCCATGCCTAACATATCACTAGGACGACCTCCATCAACATCAGTAAGTTAATCACTGATTTATAGTGTATCCGTAGAACATCACATTAAGAGGATTTGATATAAAAAAAACACTGATATAACAATATAGAAAAAATGGTGTTTGGGAAAAACATGATATCAATGATTTTGTGATTTCAAGTGAAATTCACTGTAGTTTACATTCCCTTATTAACAGGAATTAATGATTCTATATTTGTGTAGCAGGGATCAAACAATAACAGCTCGTCAGGGCCATCAGAGTCGGACCTGAGGGCCATGGAAGCAGCTCGACACCCGATTCCTCTCTCTGGGCACCACATGCATGGAGCTCTTCCTTTCTACCCATCATTACCAGGTACGAGCCGTCTGATTGGTCAAGTTATAATTTTCCTGGAAACAGTAGAAGATATTTATGGTATATAAATCTATGTACATAATAAACTGTAACATAGAAAATCAATCAGGTCATGTTTCTCATGTGTTGGCTATTTATACCCCCCATTAGTGAGGCGGGTATATAGAAATTGCTTTATCAGTACAACCATGTTGAGTGTTGGTCCACCTGTAGTAAAAAGCTTGTGTACAACATAGTTCATGAATAGTTTATATTTACATCATATTAAGGCAATAGTCAGTTCTACACCTGCTTAGATTTTGGTGTTCTTTGGTCAAGATTAAAGAAAGGGTCAAATGTTACAGGCAAAGGTTTCCATCTGTACTAAAAAGGTAAAACATATCTCATGAATCCTTGAATACATTTATTTTATTAGCTCACCTGCTCCGAAGGACCAAAGTGAGCTTATGCCATACTGTGCCATCCGTCATCCTTCCCTCCATCAAAGTTTTTTTCAATTGACTTCTTCTTAATTAACCACTGACTGGAATTTGACCAAATTTGACTGAACCCCAGGGGACTGAGGGGCATTGCCAAAGAGGGGTAATATGGCTATATAGATTTAAGGGGTAATTTGGCTATATAGATTTAAGGGGTAATTTGGCTATATAGATTTAAGGGGTAATTTGGCTATATAGATTTAACAGACTTCATCTCTAGAACTTAGTGACTGATAGTAACGATATTTTGTTGAAACAGTGACTGATATTAACGATATTTTGTTGGAAACATTTTCAGGTGGAGGGAATTCAAAGGACCTGTTACAGGAACAAAAGAATTTTGCCCACAAAGCTATTTAACCATTACTGGGTTATATTTGTAGCTCCCTTAGACACGACCCATGAGATATTTTAAAAAATATTAAAAAGGTCCCCAGGGCCCGTGCTATGAACTACTTAGTGCCGCCTTCCAAAGGTGTACGACAGGGTTCACTTTTTTGTCCAAAAAACTATCAAAACAATGTTTTACGCTATCAAATAATATTATATTATTTAAAGTAGGATCTGCTGCAAATTACGAACTCAAATATGTAGCAAAAAATTGCATAATAAAAAAGTTATAAAATCTTAAACTCTAAAAATGTTGGTAATTCATACACTTTTTTGCTACATCAATTGTTTTACGGAAGTAAAACACCAATTTTCGGTTCTTGTACACCAAAAATCTTTTAATATTATTTGATGCATTATGTTGTGTTATGATACTGAAAATTTCAGAAAATTTGAGAACCGGTAAATTTGTCATATAAATGTCAAATTGTAGCAACGTCTGTTTCCAATAAAATCCAACAACCTTATGACCTATAGTCATGTTTGATCATTTAACAATACGTCGCACCAATTTATTATCGCAACTGATCAAATTTTCATCAATAAGGTCTGCTGCTCATGATGAGCCCAACTATAAAGCTAGATGTTGCAAAACAGAAAAGTTATGCAGTCTCACACACATAAAAGTTAAGTATGTTATGTACATTTTTAGTTGTTTCGCATCGTTACGGAAGTGATAGACATATTTCCTGTTTGTGTACACCAACATACTTTGGATATTATTTGGCACATTATGTTGACTGACGATAGTAGAAATTTCGAATAATCGGTGTTCGGTAAATGTGTCATCTTAAGGATAATATGTTGTATGACCAATTTCAAAATAAATCTTCAATAACTACAGGTCAATGCAAGTTCTTTATAATTAACCCAAAATCATTCCAATATAATATCAAGGTGGATGATATGGTTTATAGTAGAGTATGACTGTTTAACTAAACTAGGTAGTTAAAGGGGGGAATACAGCAAAAGTTAGGCAATTTGTCAGAACAATTGGTGTACCAGTATAATATGTTGAAGATATGTTAACCCATCACATTGTTTCTTTTTAGGAGAGTTATAGTTTCTAATTCATGGATTGTTGTATTTACTGTTGTTGTTTTTTAATTTGACAACACATAGTCAAAATTGATCATTCAAATTTTTATTCTGAATTTCTCCTTTCTCAGTTCAATCTTAGGTCTCATCATTTTTTCATATTATTCCCGACAAGTAATTGGTAAGAAGTGCATCAGGTGTCGACTGATAAAAACTGATATTGACTTGGAGCACATGATTTTTGTTGAAGGACTGGGTGTTTCTAAAAGTAGAATTATTACGTGTCTCCAAACAATGCACCGTCCCACTTCCGAAGTTTTTTTTTTGTTTTTTTTTCAGATTGCTTACATTACTGTTTTGTAAAATAATAAAACAATTGAAGCCTTTAACTTCGGTTAATACCTGGATTTATCGACCCGAGAAAAGATATATTGACCTCGGAATGCGTCCTCGGTAATATATCTTTTCTCGGGTTGATAAATCCAGGTATCGACCACAGCCAAAGGCTATAATTGAATAATGTTTCTGTTTTGAATGCATTCATAATATGCAGTCTCTGAATTTGCGAGCTGAAGGCTGGAGCGGTTTAGCATCTGTTAAATGTGCATAGTATCATAGATAATACAGTATTGATGCGACATGAGTACACATACCCGATGTTCTCTTTTCTGCAGTACACACACAATAGTATGCCTTGACAGGATCCTCTGATGCGTGCAGGTCAAACTCTATCCAGACATTGTATTTTGCCTGCGACCTGTGGCGAGAGTGTATTTGGCCTCGGAGAAGGTCATCAGCATGTTGGTACACCCATATCTCACAATCACCCCCATCTGTCTGATGAGGGTGATTGTACTGTGATATAGCCAGGTGCCAGCTTCAGCCGATATGTACAACAAGCCAAAATCGCATTGACCTGTAGTTATTGACGATTTATTTTGACATTGGTCATACAACATATTATCCTTAAGATGACACATTTACCGAACACCGATTTTTTCGAAATTTCTACTATCGTCGGTCAATATAATGTGCCAAATAATATCCAAAGTATGTTGGTGTACACAAACCGGAAATATGTCTATCACTTCCGTAACGATGCGAAACAACTAAAAATGTACATAACATACTAAACTTTTATGTGTGTGAGACTGCATAACTTTTCTATTTTGTAACATCTAGCTTTATAGTTGGGCTCATCATGAGCAGCAGACCTTATTGATGAAAATTTGATCAGTTGCGATAATAAATTGGTGTGACGTATTGTTAAATGATCAAACATGACTATAGGTCATAAGGTTGTTGGATTTTATTGGAAACAGACGTTGCTACAATTTGACATTTATATGACAAATTTACCGGTTCTCAAATTTTCTGAAATTTTCAGTATCATATCACAACATAATGCATCAAATAATATTAAAAGATTTTTGGTGTACAAGAACCGAAAATTGGTGTTTTACTTCCGTAAAACAATTGATGTAGCAAAAAAGTGTATGAATTACCAACATTTTTAGAGTTTAAGATTTTATAACTTTTTTATTATGCAATTTTTTGTTACATATTTGAGTTCATAATTTGCAGCAGATCCTACTTTAAATAATATAATATTATTTGATAGCGTAAAACATTGTTTTGATAGTTTTTTGGACAAAAAAGTGAACCCTGTCGTACACCTTTGGAAGGCGGCACTAAGTAGTTCATAGCACGGGCCCTGGGGACCTTTTTAATATTTTTTTAAATATCTCATGGGTCGTGTCTAAGGGAGCTACAAATATAACCCAGTAATGGTTAAATTGCTTTGTGGGCAAAATTCTTTTGTTCCTGTAACAGGTCCTTTGTTCTAATGAAGGGTCTGACCCCAGTGGGCTGATGGGCGGGGCTAAAAAGTGGTAAGAAGTAAATGATGGATATCAACCATATTTAGTTGGGAGCATTCTTAGATTTGAAATGGCTGATATCCCCACCCCATAACCATAGGTAAAATCGATGGGCATCAAGAGACAAACACAATCATGATATCGGAATTGGCCCTTAGGTCTCCCTCACCCCTAGATACTTAATTCCAGGGTGATGACCCAGTTGAGTTCCCAACCCCATAACCATAAATACCATTGCTGGGCATAAAGAGATGATTACATTCATAATATTATAATTGGTTTTGGCCCCACCCTTTGGGTCACATATTGAAATGGTTGAAATCCCCACCCCAAAACCATTTGAACAACTTCTTCTGAATAACCAAAAGGCCTAGGGTGGTGGTATTTGGCCAATAGCATGCCTGAATGCAGGGCTACCAAGTTTGCTGAAATAAATGACCTTGACCCTTTGTCAAAGTTACAGGGGTCAAAAATGTTTAAATCTTCAAACAACTTTCTTCTCCATTCCCAAACGACCCAGGGTGATGATATCTGTCAAGTAGCACGCTGAGATGATCCTCTATTAATTTTTTGAAAAGAATGAAAATATCAAACAACCAAGGTAACAGGGGTCAAAGGTGTAAAAATCTTCAGAGGTCATTTTTGTTTAAAACTTAATGCCCAGGGCAATGATAGTAGCATGCTAGGATGCCCCGGGCAATGATAGCAGCATACTAGGATGCCCAGGGCAATGATAGTAGCATGCTAGGATGCCCAGGGCAATGATAGTAGCATGCTATGATGCCGAGGGTAATGATAGCAGCATACTAGGATACCCAGGGCAATAATAGTAGCATGCTAGGATGACAAAGGCAATGATAGTAGCATGCTAGGATGCCTAGGGCAATGGTAGTAGCATGCTATGATGCCGAGGGCAATGATAGTAGCATGCTATGATGCCGAGGGTAATGATAGCAGCATACTAGGATACCCAGGGCAATAATAGTAGCATGCTAGGATGACAAAGGCAATGATAGTAGCATGCTAGGATGCCTAGGGCAATGGTAGTAGCATGCTATGATGCCGAGGGTAATGATAGTAGCATGCTATGATGCCGAGGGTAATGATAGCAGCATACTAGGATACCCAGGGCAATAATAGTAGCATGCTAGGATGACAAAGGCAATGATAGTAGCATGCTAGGATGCCTAGGGCAATGGTAGTAGCATGCTATGATGCCGAGGGTAATGATAGTAGCATGCTATGATGCCGAGGGTAATGATAGCAGCATACTAGGATACCCAGGGCAATAATAGTAGCATACTAATATAGGATGCCCAGGGCAATGATAGTAGCATGCTAGGATGCCCAGGGCAATGATAGTAGCATGCTAGGATGACAAGGGCAATGCTAGTAGCATGCTAAGATGCCCAGGGCAATGATAGTAGCATGCTAGGATACCCAGGGCAATAATAGTAGCATGCTAGGATGCCCAGGGCAATGACAGTAGCATGCTAGGATGCCCAGGGTAATGATAGTAGCATGCTAGGATACCCAGGGTAATGATAGAAGCCTTCTTGGATGCCCAGGGCAATGATAGTAGCATGCTAGGATACCCAGGGCAATAATAGTAGCATGCTAGGATGCCTAGGGCAATGGTAGTAGCATGCTAGGATGCCGAGGGTAATGATAGTAGCATGCTAGGATACCCAGGGTAATGCTAGTAGCATGTTAGGATGCCCAGGACAATGCTAGTAGCATGCTAGGATGCCCAGGGCAATAATAGTAGCATGCTAGGATGCCCAGGGCAATGAAAGTAGCATGTTAGGATGCCCAGGACAATGAAAGTGGCATGCTATGATGCCCAGGGCTCGGAGAAGGTCATCAGCGGATTAGCATGCCAATGGTAGTAGCATGCTAGGATGCCTAGGGCAATGATAGTAAAATGCTAGGATGTCCAGGGCCATGATAGAAGCCTGCTAGGATGCCTAGGGCAATGATAGTCGCATGCTAGGATGCCTAGGGCAATGATAGTAGCATGCTAGGATGTCCAGGGTCATGATAGAAGCCTGCTAGGATGCCTAGGGCAATGATAGTAGCATGCTAGGATGCCTAGGGCAATGATAGTAGCATGCTAGGATGTCCAGGGTCATGATAGATGCCTGCTAGGATGCCTAGGGCAATGATAGTAGCATGCTAGGATGCCTAGGGCAATGATAGTAGCATGCTAGGATGTCCAGGGTAATGATAGTAGCATGCTAGGATGTCCTGGGTAATGATAGTAGCATATTAGGATGCCCAGGGCAATAATAGCAGCATGCTAGGATGCCTAGGGCAATGATAGTAGCATGCTAGGATGCCTAGGGCAATGCTAGTAGCATGCTTGGATGTCCAGGGTCATGATAGATGCCTGCTTGTATGCTAAGGGCAATGATAGTAGTATGCTAGGATGAAGTGCTATAAAGTTTATTCACATATATTACCTTCACCAACATTTAAGGTCACAGGGATCAAGTGTTTAAAAATATCTGAAGGGAAAGGCCCAGGATGGTGATATTTGGCCTGTCGCTTATTTAGCCCTTTCAAATGTGTTTGCCCTTGGTTCAATTTGAAGGTTACTGGTGTGAGTTTTAATACCAGGTGAGTGATTCAGTCCCACTTGGTCTCTTGTTTTAGTTCAGTGATATATTGAATGTTGCTCCTAAAAGTGTGTCCAATTTTTAGCTCACCTGGCAGAAGCTTTAAACAACTTCTTCTGAATAATAGTCACAAGGGTCAAATATGTTAAAAAAAACACCAGTTTCTGAATAACCAAAAAGATTAGTGTCATGATATTTGACCAGTAGCCTGCTCAGATGAAGAGATATCAAGTTTGTTCATGTGAATGACTTTTACCTACTTTCAAGGTCACTTATGGTCAAATGTGTATGAACTATTAAATGACCTCATCTCAATTAACAAAAAGGTCTAGGGTAGTGATATTTGGGATGAAGAGCTATAAAGTTTGTTCAACTTAATGACCTTGTTAGACTTTCATGGTCACAGGTGTCAAATGTGTTTAAATCTTTTAGCATGGTCTTTTGAAAGACTTTGAGTCAAGACACTGATATTTTGCATGTAGCTTTATTTAAGTCCAATTTAAATGTTACAAGTTTTAGATTAATACCAGGTGAAAGATGCAGGCTCATTGGGCCTCTTGGTGAATGTTTATTTAAATGTATTGAAATTTGCTGTTTCAGCTATAGATGGAGAATTTAATCCCCAATCAAATCCAACATACATATCTGCACACGTAAAAGTATTAGAGGAAGCACGCAGCCAAAGTCAGGGCAAACTGCAACAGATGCCTATGGGGGCTAGCCCCTACACTGCCATTCCTGGGGCAGCGATCCCACCTGGTAGTGCCGCCTCCGAGTCTCACCAGGCACAAATACATAGGTATGTATATACTTAGACAGGGCCTTCATATATAAAGGTATACATATATGCATTATCAGGACCACTATAATCAGAGCTGACATATACATAGTCAGAGCCACCACATATACAGAGATCAGAAATCAGAGCCACCACATATACAGAGATCAGAAATCAGAGCCACCACACATACAGAGATAAGAAATCAGAGCCACCACATATACAGAGATAAGAAATCAGAGCCACCACATATACAGAGATCAGAAATCAGAGCCACCACATATACAGAGATCAGAAATCAGAGCCACCATATATACAGAGATCAGAAATCAGAGCCACAAATCAAAAAATGATAAAGAGCAGAATCTGTTAATGGACAGAACATTACCTCCAAAACATTACTCTGGTGGCTTTTCAAACCATCTGTTACCTTGCTGTAATGAAATCTCACATTTCTCAACTGTCTTATTTTAGGCACAAAAAATTGGGGCGAACACAGTCCGCACCTTTACCCTTGGGCCATCCTTACCTACAGCAGCATATTCTGCAGCAGCAGCAGCAACAACAACAGCAACAACAACAGCAACAACAGCAGCAGGAGAAGAAGATGAAAGAGAAGATGTTTGTAAAGCAACACATACGCCAAGCGGTTTTACAGCGAGCCAACAGCAAAACTCACATGGAAAATGTGGATGAGGAAACAGAGGCCAAACTACAACAGGTATTTATAGATATATCAAAAACAGACACAAATGCAGTCTAGATATAAGTGTGTACAAATGTATATAATGAGAGATTGTTTATGCTCCTGCCATAAAATGGGGATTCATATAGTGTTGCCCATGTGCGTCCCGTCCATTCCGTCCCGTCCCATCCAGTCGCGTCCCAACAACTTCTTCAGAATAACCGGGAGACCCAAAGTAAGGATTCTTGGCAAGTAGGTACCTGAGGACAGAGTGCTATAACTTTTCGCTAAATGAATGAACATAACCTACTTTCAAGGTCACAGGGGTCAAATATGTAAATATCTTTAAACAGCTTCTCCTACAATACCAGGAGACTCAGGGTGATGTATTTTTACCAGTAGCATGCTGGGATAGAGCAATATAAAGTTTCATTTAGTCTGGAAGATTCTTAAGTCTCTGGGCCTCCTGTATTTTGTTTTACCTTTGTTCAATTTAAGATCAATATTGTGAGATTAATTCCAGGTGAGTGATACAGGCCCGTTTGGCCTCTTGGTTAAATTTGTGATTTTACAATTTGGATGGATGTGGACCCAATTAATCAAATTTAAACAATATGAATTTCTGTTGTTCTTAATAAAATTACAATATATATTTTCTGGTTTTAAGGAGATGCGTGAAACGAGGGAACAAAATGAATGTATTGTCATCAAAGACAACAAAATGGATGACTCCTCGAGTATGGAGAAGACACCAGATCGAGAAACATTCCCTGCTCACCACCGAGAGGCTGTTCGACCACGTCACAAGGGACCCTCACACCACCGCCCGCTCGCACGCACACAGTCTAGCCCCCTTGTCACCTTCTCAATGCCCCCTCAGCAGCCCTCTGAGTCCAGCCCTGTTAGATACAATTTTACAACAGGTATGTATAGAAAATCCCAGCCGTCCATTGTTATCTGCTTATGTACAAAGTAGCATCTGCTAATATGAAAAGGCAAAGCCTGTAAAGAGTGTAGCTTTTCATAATCTCTGTTGTTACACCTCAAGTGAATTTCTAGCATTTTGATTGGTTTGGAGAAAATTAAACAAAAATCTCTGTCACACTCCGAAAATACATTGGTTTTAAGGGGCGCGGGTGATATTGCCATGAGACAGTGAAAAATATCACATGCACGATAAATGTGCGTTCACCGCTTCGTTTCCCCACCGTGATGGTCACAAGAACGTTTGACGGCAACAGCCAATTTTATCAAGCACCGGTGCGATAGCGATTGTAAACAGCAGACTATCAACAAACAAGATGTCATTATCGAGGTTGGCTGCCGTTTCTGAGCTACAAAGACTTTTGGTGTAACAAAATAGTTATGACATTCATTAGCAGGTGACAGTGAATATTGTCAACCCGAGAAAACCCATTGTCACCCGAGGCGCACCTGCAAATGAATCTCATATATATATAATATTTACTAATTCAGGATAATTCGGCAAGTCGAGAAATAACGATTAAACACAATTGCAAGCTGTAATGGGCTTTTAGGAACATCATTTGTGTAGAGTTTTTGTATCATATATGTTTGGTATTCACAATATAATTTTTCCATCAAAGACACAATTTTCTAATGTGTGAGATAGACATTTATTTTGAATGAAATTTACTGTGGCCATGGATGAAATTTACTGTGGACATGGGTGATATCAACTGTGGCCATTGGTAATATTCACTGTGGCCATGAGTGATATTCACTGTGGCTATGGGTGATATTAACTGTGGTCATGGGTGATATTCAATGTGGCCTTTGGTGATATTTACAGTGGCCATGAGTGATATTTACTGTGGCCATTGGTGATATTTACTGTGGCCATTGGTGATATTCACTGTGGCCATTGGTGATATTTACTGTGGCCATTGGTGATATTTACTGTGGCCATGGGTGATATTTACTGCGGCCATGGGTGATGTTTATTGTGGTCATGGGTTATATTTACTGTGGTCATGGGTGATATTTACTGCGGCCATTGGTGATATTAAATGTGGCCATTGGTGATATTCACTGTGGCCATTGGTGATATTTACTGTGGCCATTGGTGATATTTACTGTGGCCATTGGTGATATTATCTGTGGTCATGGGTAATATTTACTGTGGCCATTGGTGATATTTACTACTACCCAACATGTACAGATCAAGTTTTTCCCCTTATCATAACCTTCGTTGTTGTATCTAAATGTTCAGATGAATACATCTGCCCAGTTTATATTGCTTGTGTATACATATGGAAAAAGTGATCTCCATTTCATGAATCTAATCTTTAGAGATGTCAGAAACGTTCCCAGACTGATCAGAACAATATATTTCTAATGTATCTAACATGTTGCTCTTCACATTGACAGGGTTAGCATATGACTCTATCATGCAAAAGCATGAATGCACTTGTGGCAATAATGCCAACCATCCAGAGCATGCAGGTCGCCTACAAAGCATCTGGTCTCGTCTCCAGGAGCAGGGTCTCAACACACGCTGCGAGGTACTTAACCATGAACTTAAGATGATACAAGTGTTACACAATCCTTAATTGTGCATATTTACTTTTGAGACCGATCAGAACAAGATGGTTTCCAAGTAAACTGATAAAACAAATAAGAGAAAAGAAGAGAAAAGATCAAATTGACAGAACTTATAAAGACGGTACGATGGTTGGCGTCAGGATCTCTCTTTGATCTCTTGTTATTTTAAACAACTTCTTCTGATTAACCAAAAGGCCTAGGGTGAAGATATTGAGCCAGTAGCATGCATGGAAGAAGGGCTTCCAAGTTTGTTCAAATGAAAGGCCTTGACTCATATTCAAGGTCACAGGGGTCATTTGTATAAATAAAAAGTTTCAAACAACTTTTTCTGAATAACCAAAAGGCCTAGTGTAATGATATTTGGCTGATCACATGCTTGGCTGAAGAGCTACCAAGTTTGTTCAAAGGAATGACCTAGACATAATCAAGTTCATATGGGTCAATTGTCTTAAAACTTTCAAAAACTTCTTCTGAATAACCAAAAGGTTCAGGATAATGATATTTTGCCAGTAAAATGCTGGGTTGAAGAGCTACCAAGTTCGTTCAAATGAATGCCCTTGACTTGTAGTTCACAGGAGTCGATTAGTTTAAAAAACAAAAATCAAATCTTTTCTTCTAAATAACCAAAAGAACCAGGGTGATGATATTTTGCTTGTCCCATGCTGTTTTGAATGGCTGCCAAGTTTGTTCAAATTTATGACCTTGACGTATATTCAAGGTCACAGGGGTCAAACAAGTAAAAAATCTTTCAATGATTTCTTCGGTATAACCTAAATTGCTAGGCTTCTGATAGTTTGCAAATAACATGCTGGAATAAAGGGTTACCAAATTTATTAAAAAGTTATGTTCGCCCATATTCAAGGTCACAGGTGTCAAATATGTTTTTAAAAAAAAAGACTTCTGAATATACAAAATGGCTGGGATTATGATATTTGGCCAGTAGCATGCAGGGATGAAGGGTTACCAGCTTTGCTCAAATGAATGAAGTTCATCCATTTTCAAGGTCACATGGATCTAAAACAACCATACAAACAACTTCTTATGAATAACCAAAAGACCAAAGGTTCTTGCTCAGATTAATTGCTGTCATTTTTTTTTTGTGAATGACCTTGACCCATTTTCAAGGTCACATCTAGTCAAAGTGTATAAACATAAAAACAACCTAATTTCAGTAAACAAAAGGTCTTGGGTGGTGATGTTTGGCAAGTTGCATGCTGAGATGAATGGCTATAAAGTTGGTTCAATTTAATGACCTTATTAAGACTTTCAAGGTCAGAGGGGTCAACTTTGCTAGATAGTGAAATTCTGCCTGTACCTATATTTAGTCAACTTTTAAGGGTACAAGTGTAAGATTAATACCAGGTAAGCAAGGCCATAGGGCCTTTTGTTTATACAAAAGCAAGCACAAACAACATCTCCTTTTTCCAATTTCTCCAGCTTTTTAGGTCACCTGAGCTTTAGCTCAAGTGACCTATTGCTATCCGTTTTCGTCCGTCGTCGTCCGTCGTCCGTTAACATTTTACACTTCAAACTTAAAGTCAAGTTCTGCTGGGCCGATTGAACTAAAAGTTGGTAGGAATGATCGCCTCATGGTCCTGACAAAGTGTTGTTATTTTTCGGGTCGATCAGAAATCCAACATGGCCACCACAGTC